TTTATATTTTTATATATTTAAGTGACATTATAATATGAACTTTAATTAATTAAATCATTAACTTAACCTAATACTTGAGTGGCATGGTCCATAAGAAATTTATTTTTCCCCATCCAAAGGGCCATGTAATTCTTAAGTTTGAGAAACACAGAGAGTGGAAAGAGTGAAGGTTCTACAAGTAGCCATTGTTTGGAATCTTGGCTTTATTATTTACTACCCAGGACGTCTTGGGACACATTTAACTTTGCTGAGCTGCAGTTTTCTTATCTATAAATGAGATTTAAAATATCTTCCCACACACGGTTCCAAGGAGAATTAAATGAGCTAATGTGTGTCTAGTACCCAGTAGTCTGTTAGACAGGTAGCATCCATTCCCACTTCCTTTCTTCTGTGAGTTCTGAGTTTCTTTTTGGTAATTTGAGGTGATAATATATAGCTACAAATATCACTGAAATGGTGATAAAGTGTACGTAGAAGTTCTTTATTACTATAAATGTCTGCATAATTTTAGAACTTATATTCCCTCTGATTTGGTCCTTCCATTTTCATTAGAAATAAAAGCAAATCCAAGATAAAACTGGGATGTAGATAGCTGAGTACAAAAAGAAAGAAATCCTGTGGTAGTTAGGGTCATGTGTCAACTTGGCTGGGCCTGGTTTTGAGTAGCTGGTCAGCTGGATGTAGCTATTCCCCATGATGAGATTGTAATCACATACATGGTGGAATTACTGTGAGCTGCTGAATAAAGTAGGTGTGCGGTCTGCTTCTAGTTTGTAAGAAAGAGTTTGGGAAAGGTCTCTGAAGTTTTTGGCTCATCTGAATCTTGCATTTGCCCAAGTCTTCATCTCAGTGGGCTGCTGTGTTGTCTGTCAATCCTGACTGTTTCTGGACTTGCACTAGTGGTCTACTGTGTTGCTTGATAATTTTAGGACTATGGCATTTTACTTGACCACTTTGGGCTTGTCAGCCTCAGCAGCCAGCAGCTGTCTGAGTTAGGAGAAGCCTCCAGGTTCAGTGGGCTGAGAGCAAGAGGCAGAGCTAAAGCCTAAGACTGAGGGGCCTTCACCCAGCCCCCAGAGCTGGCACTGTGAACTTGGAATTCTAGCCTCCTAAACTGTAAGAGAATAAATCCCTGTTTGTTCAATGCCATCCCCTTGTGGTGTTTCTATTACAGCAGCACAAGAAGGCCAAAACAAATACTAAGTAAGGTCATTGAAATTTAATTCTCAAATTTGTTGAGATGATTAAAAGTCTGGAAATGATGGTATTTTAGTGGAAGTCTCAAAATCAATAAATTAAACTTAAAATAACCAAATGCTAAATCAAATACCTATCCTATATCCAACTATACACAAACAGTAATGGATGGTAAAGTTTTATGAAATAGCTATGAAATATTGCCCAATTTAGATCTGGAAGATGAGCCCCTCAGGTTAGAAGGCACTCGAAATACAACTAGGGAAGAGCTGCCCCCTCAAAGTAGAGTCAACCTTAATGATGTGGATGGAGTAAAGCTTTCAGGACCTCTATTTGCTGATGGGACATGAACTCAAAATGGGAAGAAACAGTTGCAAACATCCATTAATAATTGGAAGGTGGAATGTATGAACTATGAATGTAGGAAAATTGGAAGTTGTCAAAAATGAAATCAAATGCATAAAGATCTATATCTTAGGCATTAGTGAGCTGAAATGGACTGGTTTTGGCCATTTTGAATCAATCATACGATCTACTATGTTGGAAATGATAAATTAAAGAGGAAGGGCATGGCATTCATTGTCACTAAGAATATTTCAAGAGCTATCCTGAAGTAAAATGCTGTCAGTGATAGGATCATATCCATATGCCTACAAGGAAAATCAGTTAATACTACTATTATTCAAATTTATGCACCAACCATCAAAACCAAAAATGAGGAAACTTCAGATTTTTACCAACTTCTGCAGTCTTAAATTGACCAAACATGCAATCAAGATGTGTTGATTATCACTGGTGATGGGAATGCAAAAGTTAGAAACAAAGAAAAATCACCAGTAGTTGGAAAATATGGCCTTGGTGATAGAAATGATGCTGGAGATCACATGATATACTTTTGCAAGACCAATAACTTTGTTGTTGTTGTTGTTACGTGCTGTCGAGTTTGACCTAACTCATAACAACCCCTCCTTGGGTTTCCAAGGTGGTATCATTACAAAAGTAGATTGCCCAACCTTTCTTCCGAGGAGTGGCTGGTTTGAACCACCAGCCTTCTGGTTAGCAGTCAAGTGCCTTAGGCACTATGTGACTTATTCACTACAAATACCTTTTCTCAATAACATCAATGGCAGCTATACATGTGGACCTCGCCAGAGGAAATACTCAGGAATCAGATTGCCTACATCCATGGCAAGAGATGATGGAGAAGCTCAATATCTTCAGCCAAAACAATCCAGGAGCTGACTGTGGAACAGACCATCAACTGCTTACGTGCAAGTTCAAGCTGAAGCTGAAGACAATGAAAACAAGTCCATGAGAGCCAAAATATGACCTTGATTATATCCCTCCTGAATTTAGAGACCATCTAAAGAATAGATTTGATGCATTGAACACCAATGACTAAAAACCAGAGGAATTATGGGATAACATCAAGAGCATCATTCATGAAGAAAGCAAAAGGTCATTAAAAAGACAGGAAAGGAAGAAAAGACCAAAATGGATGTCAAGAGAGACTCTGAAACTTGCTCTTAAATGGAGAGTAGCTAAAGCAACTGGAGAAAATGACAAGATAAAAGAGCTGAACAGAAGATTTCAAAGGGCAGCTCAAGAAGACAAAGTCAGTTATTATAAGGAAATGTGCAACAATCTGGAAAAACCAAAAAGAATATACTCAGCATTTCTCAAGCTGAAACAACTGAAGAAAAAATTCAAGCCTTGAGTTGCAATACTGAAATATTTTATGGGCAGAATATTGAATGATGCAGGAAGCATCAAAATATGATGAGAAGACTACACAGAGTCACTGTACAGAAATGAATTGGTCAATGATCAATTATTTCAGGAGGTGGCATATGATCAAGAGCCAATGATACTGAAGGAAGAAGTTGAAGTGGCATTGAAGGAATTGGCAAAAAACAAGGCTCCAAGAATTGACAGAATACCTATGGAGATGTTTCACCAAAGGATACTGTGCTAGAGGACTTGTTCGTCTTTCCAAGAAATTTGGAAGGCAGCTACTTGGCCAACTGACTGGAAAAAAACCATGTTTATACTCATTTCAAAGAAAGGTGATCCTACACAATGTGGAAATTATCGAACAATAACATTAATATCACATGCAAGTATATTTTGAAGATAGTTCAAAACTGGTTGCAGCAGTATATTGACAGGGAACTTCCAGAAATGCAAGCTGTATTCAGAAGAGGACGTGGAATGAGGGATATCATTGCTGATGTGAAATGGATCTTGGCTCAAAGCAAAGAATGCCAGAAAGATGTTTACTTGTGTTTTGTTGACTATGCAAAAGTATTTGCTTGTGTAGATCATAATAAATTATGGATAACATTGAGAAGAATGGGAATTCCAGAACACTTAATTGTGCTAATGAGGAATGTGTACATAGACCAAGAGGCTGTCCTTCGAAAAGAACAAAGGGATACTGCATGGTTGAAAATAAGGAAGCGTGTGTGTCAGGATTGTATCCTTTCACCATGCTTATTCAATGTGTATGCTGAGACAATAATCTGAGAAGCTGGACTATATGAAGAACACAGCATCAAGATTAGAGGAAGACTCATTAACAATCTGTGATGATATGCAAATGACACAACCTTGCTTGCTGAAAGTGAGGATGACTTGAAGCACTTACTGATGAAGATTAAAGACTACAGTCTGCAGTATGGATTAC